AGATATATTGTACATTGTATATTGTTCAATGTTCATATATGAGGTACTGCAGCCCAAATCTTTGTACATGCGAGTTGTATTCCATTAAGATGATTTGATGTAATTTCGCTGTGTGTATGCAAGTAACTGAACTCCACTGTATAACTGTTTATAATCCTTTCGGTGAAACTCTGTAAGCAAATGTTTTTTTAATTCCATGTCGTTCATAGTTTTCATGGTGCTAAAGATATTGACGTTGGAGATGTTCAGAGCATTTCAGCACTTCTATGCAAAGAATAAAATACTGCACCCGTCAGAAGCTCTCTTCTCCTTTCTTTATTGATGCCAAAGGGCTGCTACAGATTATATGAAAGATATTTTAAGAGAACAGGTGATTATTCTGGTTCCACGTCAAGAAAAATTTCAGGGTCATTATTTCTCATGATTCCTTGTTCAAAAGACTGGGGGCACAACAATAAACATTTGTTTACTCAACAAGAGTTTAAAGATGAGACCATTCATGATGGAATCTTACAGAAGCATTACACCTGCAATCCAGGAAGGAGAGTTTCTCATCTATTAGCAATCTGTGAGACACGTATTATAACATTCCAATACACCCGGACCATTTCAGTGTCCTCAGATTTGCAATCAAGAAGGATCACTTTCTATAATTTTATTTCACTATCTGGAAGATGTTCTTCATGTAGCTCCAGAGAGACCTGGTTTTGAGGGCGCTTCAGAAATATGGATAACTAATAAACTACCAGAAAAGCAGTCTAGTGCTATTCAGGAAGATGAATTTCCTGTGAGCAAGCTTAAACACTGTGACCAATATAATATCTCTTTCACAAGAAAGAATTAGTAGAAAAAAAGAGTTGTATAACTAAATACAGAGTAGAGAAGATTGACACTGCAATAAGATACATGCAACTTCTGTGCAGGCTAGACCCCCCACAATAAACTTGATATGATGGACACAGTGGCATCTAAGAATATCACAATGTTCCTTCCGAATCCAATTCAACAGGAAGAAGGAAGAATGATCGTAATTTCCAATACATTTGGTGATTGCATCCAAAAAAAACCTATACAACGGGTTTAGAAAGATGGATCCCCAGTGGCAGATTGTTATCACAGATTCTAGTTTGAGAGGCTAGGGTGCACATTATCGATACCACATGGTCCATGGAATATGGACTCCTTAGAAAGCAGCTCTATCTTGCAACATTTTGGAACTTCGAGCTATTACCAAGGCTCTCTGGAAATGCTCAACCTTTCTTGCTGGAACATGGGTTTCGATCAACTCAGACAACCTAGTGCCAATCTCTTACATAAATCATTAAGATGCTACTCACCGTCAACTTCTGATGAAAGATGGAGAAATTAATTAAATGGACTCAGAGACATGTACAGGACATATCGGCTATACATCTAATGGGGAAACAGAACAAGAAAAAGAACCAAGTAGCCGACTTTTTCAATTGTGTGACATTTCAGAAACACGATTGACAACTGAACCTTCAAGTGTTCACAAGCTAGTAGAGTCTACCAGAGATAGACTTGATGGACAATATTCACAATGCTCAGATCTAAAAAATATTTTTCAAAGATGTATGATCCAAAGGCTCCAGGCCAGGATGCACAAACCCAGAGATGGGAGTTTGCCATAGTCTATGTTCCCCCCCTGCACCCCAATACCTTTAATTTCAAGGGTAGTGAGAAAGATCCAGGTTGAAAAGGCATAAGTCTTTGCAGTCTTGCCCTTTTGGCCTCAAAGACCCTGATTCTCTATTGCTCAACAGATGTCTCAGGAACTTTCAGCCCACACAGATCTACTGATTCAGGGTCCTTTGTTACACCTGGACCCACAGGTTCTTCAACTAAGGGTATGGAGGTTGCGACCTATTGCAGAGTCTAGGAAGCTCTTGGCGGTTGGGCATCAGAACAAAAGGTTGATTTCAATTTTCCTTCGTTATCTACTTTGCTATTTTTTTTCTTTTTTTAATCTGGCTTATATATATATATATATATATATAGGCTTTAGCTAGAACACCTTAAAAGGGCCTAAATTTTTAGTGATCAGGTTCCTAAAAGGGGTAATAAATAAAACAAATCCCCTATGGGTTTTAACTGTTCCATGTGATTTACCTTTTATCCTCAATGCAATGACAGATTCACCCTTTGATTCTATTCATTTAACCATTAAGTCACAAATGGTGCCGTTTTTGATGGCCTTAACATCTACTAAAAGAATCTGTTAAATTCAAGCCCTTCCCAGAAACCTCCATTCACCACCTTCTTTAAGGATAAGGTAGTTCTCAGACCATTAACGGAATTCTTACCAAAGAGGATTACAAAGTTCCACCTTAATCAGATCATCGTTTTACCAACCTTTTTTTTTTTCTTGGCACACTTTGGAGGTCATTTGTTCACGCTCTATGTACATTGACAGAACTAAGACTTCCTGCAATTCCGATTAGCTTTTTGTATTACTCTTTGGTCATAGAAGCAATGAGGACGCATCAATATGACCACAGAGACACAAATTATCTTAGCTATTTCCAAGGAGTATCAGTCTCAATCTCTTCTTATCCCAAATGGATTAAGTGCTCACTCAATGCTCCTGTGTAATCTCCACCTCTTGGGCTACTGTTGCTAATGCTTCTGCAGGAAGCATTTGTAAGGCTGGCAATTGGACTTCCTTTAAAGGGACACTCCAGGTCCCCAGACCACTTCTGCCCATTGGAGTGGTCTGGGTGCCAACACCCACTACCCTTAACCCTGCAGCTGTAAATATTGCAGTTTTCATAAACTGCAATATTTACATTGCAGGGTTAACTCCTCTAGTGGCTGTCTACAAGACAGCCACTAGAGGGCACTTCCTGGTTTCTAGCACGTTTTCTGCGCTAGAGCGTCGCTGGACGTCCTCACACTGTGTGAGGACCTCCAGCGTCGCTCAATTGCCCATAGGAAAGCATTTCCTATGGAGAGGTCTAATGTGCGCATGCGCATTAGGTCCCCCCCCACCAGCGGCCGCGGATTAGGTCTCCCCCGCCGGATGACGTCGGCGAGGGAGGAGCGTGGGTGGACCTGAAACCACCGTCAAGGGACATCGGCGGGAGTCTCAGGTAAGTCACTGAATGGGTGTTGGGAGGGAGAGGGTACCTGCAGTGCCAGGAAAACTGTTTGTTTTCCTGGCACTGGAGTGTGCCTTAACACTTTCTTGAAACACTGTAAAATAGAGCTTCTACTCTGACATCAGTTCTTCAGTCCTCTGCTTTGTAGATAATACAATTTATTATTTGCAATACATTTTTTGTTTAGCGTGATTCAGTGTTATAGGATTTATTTCACTCCCTTAAGCTTACTGTTCATCCTTACTGTTCTTTTACTGGTTCATATCCATGGTAGCAGACACACAATAAAACACACACACACAAAATCCACAACCTCAAGAGAAAAGGCAGGTAAATATGACTTTTTCCATGTTTACCAACTGCTTCTTACGCTTTTCAACTCCACTCCAGGAGAGTCACTGTCTTATTCATAGGAATGCTGGAAAGGTGCATTGGGTATGTCCGAATGATTAACACATGTGCAGTAGAGAATCTCTGCACCTTGCAGCATCCTGACAGAATGAGAAGAGTAGGAACCTGATCAGTGTAATCATCCCAGCAGGCTCCAGCGCTGGAATTCTCTCTCTTGCTGCTGCACAATGATGCCCTGTTTATGTCACTAGTGGACTGTAGCTGAAACTAAGATGGGTGGGGTAAGGTGGAGGCTGAAGAAACCTTATGTGAGAAGCGTGTCTAACAGTCCAGTTTATAAACATTTATTCAGCACACCTTTTTGCATTATTTTGTTTTTTGTATATATCTATAGATTTGTATTTTTTATTTTAAATGTTTGCTTACTGGTTTAAAAAAAGTATTGCCAAGTGATACACATCCCTTCAGCTTTAGTGTGGATAGTAACTTATTTTTAAACGTTAATATAATAGTAATTCCGTTGTGGACAGTGTTATGTCACTTCGTTAATTTTACAAACAAGCCAAATTAAGTCAACAACTTAAGTAAAAGGCATATCCTGCTTTTGTAGGAATGGCTCCAGGGCCTAATATAACTCTCCTGTTACAGCTGACCGTCAGTTATGTCATATGCCTATAAGGTGATAGCGATTCTATTTCACACAAAATGTCAACTTATGAGATGGTTTGTAAACTCCAAATCATCTATTGTTCTGCCAAAGAAACTATTTTTTTAATACACTCTGTAGAAACTTAGTTTTACACGTTGTTCAAATCACTGGTCAAGTACTGTCCATAACTTACTTTATTATTTTTTTTAAATCAAGTGGTAAATGGAATCTTTTCTAGCTGAACAAAAACTGTACCTCAAGGTTTAATCCATGCCATTATTTTAAAACTGTTTATTAATTAGAATGATGAGGACACTTAAAGCAGGGTTTTTTGTTGTTGTTTTTTTTTTTTTTTGCTGAATTTACACAGTTTTGTATGATACTAAACTCTGAACACAATTTGCATTTTTTTGCAGAGCAATTGAGGATAAAATAGGGAGTACTGTCTTCAGGAACAAAATGAAGGGTGCTTGGAGGATTTGTGGCTAAAGTGTCTCTGTCTGCAATATGAAATACAGCTTGCATACACAAAGCACTTTAAAAATGTCAATATATTGTATTGCTAATGTTTAACCCCTTAAGAACACAACTTCTGGAATAAGAGGGAATCATGACAGAATATTTCCGTCATGTGTCCTTAAGGGGTTAAAATTATTCAGCATAACTTTATAAAAAATGAATTCTTAAAAAATTGTAATGAAACTGGCCATCCTATTGTGTCATCTACAGACAGTTCAAAGTGCATCATCTCTCCGTGTAATTTGGAAGCTAATTACTAATGAGCTCAACTCAGAAAATCATAGGTGCTGACAAAGATGCAGATAGGAGCCAGATTTGTAAGGCTATGGACATCTCCACTGTAGGTGTAAAAATCTGAAAATGGGATATATAACTTAATTTACTATAGTTTGATTGGCTGAAAATTATATTTGTTGGAAACTACATATTTCACACCCATAATTTTCCAGGTAACAGAGACACTTTAATTATATAACAGTTAGAACACTTTACTATTTTAGTGTCAGTATTCCTTTAAGTGTCAGTGAAGTCAGTGAGAGGGAAAGTGCAGAATTTCAGTGTGAAAGCCAGCACTGGAGAAGCAAGAATTTCCTTCTAGACTTTTTAATTTCTAAAATGTATAATAAAGCATTTATAGCAATACATAACAGCTGGATTTAATAACATATTTCCCATGTTATGAACAACCTGTATTTCAAATATTTGAAAGTATTGGATAAAAAAAAAATTACAAATTGAAAAAAATTAAATAAAATAAAGATTAAAAAAAAAAAGCAAAACAAAAATTAAAATCTACCAAGAAACGTGATAACTTGAAAGAGCAGTAGAGTTCACCAGTCGTGTTTTGGTCACTGCTCTCCATATCTCATGCTGTATCAACCACAGCTTCTCTTTGAAAGCAGATTGATGCCATTTTATGTACAATTGTTTTAACAGCATAGATACAAAGTATAACATTGTCCTACACTTAGGACACATCACCCACCAAAATGGCATCATCCTACTTCTTACCATTACACCATTACTCTTTGAGTTCAAAGAGTAGTGAAGAAAACACAGTTGAGGATTAAACTGTACACTTATTTATTAAGCGGCATTTATATACAGATTAAAAGGGAATATGACAAAATACATTTTGTGGTGAACGTAATCCTTAAATCTACAGGTAGGAATACAAAAATATGCCACTATCAAATGGCAAAACAATTGCCATTTAGTTTCATTCGAGGGATTACAAATGTTATAACTTTGTGATTTTTTTATTTTTTATTTTAATGACACGAAAAGATTAAAATTTTCATTAATTGGATAACTGCAAAAATACCGAACTCTGATGCACCAGACCTAGAAAGTCTAGAACATCTGTTATTGTAGCTTAAAGAATACCACTGAAAAAAAAAAAAAAAATGGCAAACTTTGCTAAAAGGTCTAATCACTGGTGAAATTAATGCCACCAAATTCTGTAATGTGTGTTTATAGAATGCCTAACGCAAGGGAAGAGTCTCTGGATAGATCAATGTTTAGTGCTCTATGATATATATAGATCTATATATATCTATATATAGATCTATATATCTATATATAGATCTATATATATCTATCTATATATATATATATATATATATATAGATATAGATATATCTATATATAGTTAGTTTTTTGTTATTTTTTTACAATAAGCAAATAAAAAAATTTTGATACGGTAACATTGAATTAAAGCTGGCTTTGGCATAACAAATTTATATACACACATGTTTATATATATACATATATATATACACACTCACACACATATATATACATATATATATATATATATACACACACACACACATCTCTAAGAAATATAATATTTTAGACTCATCCTCTTTGATGAGCAAAATATACACTGTATATATTTAGAATTTTGTATAAATATATTTCAGATTTGTGTGACAAACAGAAGGGCATTGTTAAATCTTACCATTGTCCACTGATGTAAAACTGATGTTATTTTGACTTTCAATAAGGCAAGTTAAAAGGCAAACTTTCTGTGATCTGACCAGCATCATATCATACAAACGTAGTTGGGATCTTAACATTCTGACTAGATGACATTTTACCATTAAAAATGTATCCAGCCGGTCACTGAGCAACTGAAGTTAAAGGCATTTGTGTATAATCTAATGGATGAGCACAGCTCTATCTTCAGGATGCAGTTAACAGAAATAACACCACCCCCCAAAGATTTAAAAATATTTATATATAATAATAAAAAAAAAAAAAAAAAAAAAAAAAAAAAAAAAAAAAAACCTTTTGCATTTAGTGAAACATTAATTCCAATTAGAAAATAAAAAGCCTCAGCATGTCTTTTTGGATTCATGCACCTTAAAATCCATAAATGTCACTATAGATAAAGACTTTAAAAGAAAAGGACATTAATTTAACTGCATAGTAAAATACAAATTTCAAGGATTCTATTTTCATCAATGGAAAAAAAAAAAGCATTAAAGAGGCTGAGCAGAAATTATTCAACTGTTTATCATACATAAGACTGCATGACTATAATACAAAGGACTTTTCTTTGTTTTTCATTTAACATTACAATATACACAGCAAGTCCGGACCAGATCTTACAATCTGAACATAGGTAATATAACCTTTTAAAATGCTGTTTACTTACTATGCACAGATATCCTGTAACCAAACGATGTAGCAAAGCACACACATAACTGGACCGCATAAAGGTATGCCGAGTTTTATCAAATATCTTTTTATATAAAAGGGAGGAAAAGGCATGCATTCACACCTCAATCCTTTGTATATATTTATCTTACTAGTTTAATAACTTTCAAAGAATTGTATTCTGGTCCTTAATTCCCACTATTGTGTAGTTTGAGATGTTTTATTCACTTGCCATTAAATGATGTTCAATAAGGATCCTGTCATCTTTTCATTAGTGTGCATACTGTCATGAAAAATAGACACCTTTCTTTCCAGAACACACAAACAAAAAATAATTATCTTGGCTTTTTTGCTGCGCAAATAACTTGATATTGAGAAGGTTAATAGGTATTCAACCCACCAGGACAATCCAGAAAAGAAACACAAGGCTGTTTTTCCCTGTCTTAGACATAAAGGAACCCCTGATCAGTAAAGCATGTCTGGGTTACCCTTTAGGTGAAGCAAACAATCTGAAACAACGTGTAAGAAAAGAATGAACTCAAATTTAACAGCATGCCTTTTGAAGAGAGCCCACACAGCTCACCTCAATTTGCAATACTGGATTACACCTGCACCCAAGCCACTCAGAGTTCAACATGGCAAAGGATTTGAAAAAAAAATAAGAAGATAGAAAGAAAGAAAAGAAAAAAAAAAATAAGAAAGGGTTGGCATTTCTGTAGATGCATGTATTTTTTTTTTTTTTTATGTTTTTATCTATTTAGAGGAAAGCGTAATTATTTTACTTGGACAGGCATGAATGATGATGTGATCTGAGGTTACTAATGGAATGGGAATATACCCCCACACTAATTGCCCAGCAGTGGTAGTAGGTATTCCCTCTGTCTGTTCTTATTGAAACTTTTCTGTATTTGATTTTTACTGAGTGGTCTGTGTGCTCTTATATTCTGGCGGGGTCGCTTTCAGTGTGCTCTTCCATTCTGCTTAGGACACGCTCAGTGTGCTCTTGCACCCAGTTTTGCCTTATTTCTTTTACAAACATCTAATCATAGTTTGGAACTCACCAAAATCTAACATTATCTGTACAAATGCTCCAATTTGGTAAGCTCCATGAATAGATTAATTATCATGCTTTAGTTTGTGTGCTACCTTCTGGTTTGTGCATGACCTGTACCCTTTTGAACAGAAATGGAACTATTATGTTATATAGAGCACTGTTTAAAAATCACCCCAGGAAGCGTATATTGTGGCAGGGTGTGCAGTGATGGAAAGGAGAAACACTTTCCTCTGCTTTACCTTGGGGTGATTGGTTTCACAAGCTCTAAAGTAGCTCTGTATTGGTATGGGTGCTGGACATCTTTTCCCCATGATGCATTGTGTTCATAGAATCAGAAAATCTAATTCTTACCGAGTGTCAGTATAAATGATAACAGCTCAGCATTAGTTAAAAAGACTTTTTTGTTTGTTTAGAAGCACAACTACAAGCTAGCTATTATTTACTAAGCTAAAGCAAAGCCCCATTGCCTCAAAAGTAGCCAACCTGGCTCTGAATGCTGCATTGTTTTCCTTGCATTACAGTAACTGAAATCTTAATCTTATTTTGTTAAAACACATACAAATTATGTTGTAGACCCCCTCCCCCTTTCTTCTATATGCATCTTCAGATTATTTACGCATGTTGTTATTTAAAGGGACACTATAGTCACCAGAACAACTACAGCTTATTGAATTTGTTCTGGTGAGTAGAATCATTACCTTCAGACTTTTTGCTGTAAACACTGTCTTTTCAGAGAAAATGCAGTGTTTACATTACAGCCTAGGGATAACTTCACTGGCCACTCCTCGGATGGCTGTTAGAGATCCTTCCTGGGTTATGGCTGCCTAAAATGCATCCAAACATTCATATCTCCTCCCTCTGCATGCAGACACTGAACTTTCCTCATAGAGATTCATTGATTCAAATCATCTCTATGAAGCGATGCTGATTGGCCTGGGCTGTGTTTGAATTGTGCTGGCTCTGCCCCGATCTGCTTCCTTGTCAGTCTCATCCAATTCTATGAGGAAGCACTGTGATTGGCTCAGAACACCACGTCTGATGATGTCAGCAGACAGTGGGCAGGTCAAAAGGAATAAGGGAAAAATGCTAGCAGCTCCAGACTTGAATACAAATAAGATTTTACTATATTTAGGGAGTCCTGCTGGGACCAGGGTGGCTAGATGGTGGTTTTAACCCTATAGGGTCAGGAATACATGTTTATGTCCCAGACCCTATAGTGCTCCTTTAAATATATACTTACGATCAGATTTTAAAAAGGCACATAATGTATTTTACGAAACTGAAACACATTGCTATCATCAACTTGATGTTCAAAAGGGAAATGTGTGATTTAACCCTTTTAATACTGGTAGGATAATAAGTGATCTTTTTATTGCCAATTTTCCCTCAGATATCTTGAAGGCATGGTGCTCATTATTTCCTTGTTTGTTAAAAAAATAAAATTAAATAAAAATTATATATATATATATATATATATATATATACATATATATAATATATATATTACAATTGTAGACAGAAGAACCACTTAAATGCTAAACAGGGTATGTTCAACTCTTGTCTCCCTGCTGTCATCTGAAAAGGCTGCCCAAAATGGCTGCAGAGGATTCCTAATGTCACGTCAACAAGTGATGAGAACCACTCTGATTATCCAGTATTTACGCCTAAATATGTGCAAAATGGATGTTTGTATGTGTTTCTCAATACTGAGTCATTTTATTATTCTAGACGTTTGCTTTTAACGATGGTTTAGCAAACCGTTCCAGTTTTGACAAAACAATAATGTATCCAAATTTTAAAATTACATTTAAAATCTAGTTACAAATGTGCCAAACTGCTACATTATTGGTTACAGACATCTTTGTGCTATAAAAACAGCTTTGGTACAATAAATTATCCCAAAGAAAAAAATAAAAAGAATTTTTTTTTCCTTTCTAAAATTCACAGCATAATTGTGAGGCAAAAAAATAAGCTGTCACATAAAATTTTGCATTTAGTTTTTTTTTTGTTTTGTTTTTTTTTTATGTTCAAGATGAACAGAAGACATCTTTGTGCAGAAGTTATGGTGGAAATACCATGTGCCAAAACAATAGCTAAGAAAAAAAAACAATAATAAAAATATACATTTAATAAAAGGTGAAAATATATATATATATATATATATATATATATATATATATATATATATATATTTATATTTATAAGGGGAAGCAGGAAGGACACAGTTGTAGTTATTTCCTTCAATAGCAAACCACTACCACTGTGACTTTCAACCATTAGAGAAGTCAACTTTATGACAAACCAAGCGGCCTTGCCAAATTCTACAATTAGCGGGTCACAAAAGTCTATTTTAAAAGAAAGGCCTCTTGAATTACCCCATTCTGTGTTTTTTCAGCATTTAGAGCTAATTGCACAACCATGTCCAAAAAACGATTGCATCTAAAATGGCAGGCTCTTCCATATTAGAGTCCAGATCCATAAGGCCAAAAATTATCCTAAAACAATGTCACTTAGACCTTCCCATGACTGGCCAAGATGGGCCATCTGATTGCTTTTCAGTGAATAAAAAAACAAATCAAAGCAAAATAACAAAAACCCAAAACAAAAAAAAAACAAAAATATTGGACAAGTTGAATTTTACTATTAAGCTGACTGTTCTTTCACTGGCAAGATTCACAATCTCATTTCACCGCTACTTAGCAGATTCATGCCAAGAGATTTGATGACCACTACTTACCAAGATGACTGCAATACAACAGTTTAACCGTCCCTCTAGAGAACATAAGTAGAGCCTCATAGCTTGTGTGTTTAGAAGGTTAAAGGTCCCTCTTCTCTATACAGTACTGCGCATCTGTGCCCATGTTTTATTGGACAAATAGAAGCCAAAGACTTACTTGTCGGGATACTCTTACTTAATGTTGCTTTTACCATGTTGGCAACTATGTTAAGTATTACATACTATGGTTAAAATATATAAATATATATGTATATACAAATACATATATGATCTTTATAAAATAATCGTGATAAGAGTTTACAATTAAATGGGGTAAGCAAAAGGAGAGGTGGTAATTTGGAGCTATCCAACGTGGTGGGTTTGGAAGCAGCTCTAAAAAAATAAAAAGAGTTTCACTTCAATGTCCCTTTGCAATCATTTCAAGTTTAAAAAAATAGTCAGCTTTTCCCTGTTGTAGCGGTTACATGTGTTTTATCTCCTTCTGATTAAAGCAGCTTTTGCACTTTGCAGAAAAAAATAACCACTTCTAACACACAAAATAAAACCTAACAAAATAAAAAATAAATAAAAACAAAACCCAATAACTAAAAAAAAATATGAAGACACTAACATTTTTTTTTTGTTTTTAAAGAACAAAAATTAAAATTAAAATAAAAATCCACAAGAAACAAACCTATATAGAATTTAGTCACGAGCTAGCCACAGGACTTTGCTGAACGCAAACTCCTGTCATGGGCGATTCTTCTCGTTCAATTCCTTGCCTCATAGTCAGATGTCCTTCAGTTACATAGTGGGCAGGGCCTGTATTCGCAGAATACTGGTATGTTGGATGTCCAGAGATGCCAGTCTCTTGGCGGGGATTTGAAAAGACTGTTAAATTAACACCCATAGTTCCATTCTGTCCAAAGTCTAAGGTGTTAGCAGCCACAGGGCGGTTCTGGTAGGCCTGATTGCCTTGGTTACCGGTAGAGGAGGAAGATGTTGAGGAAGAAGTAGCTGAGGAAGACAAGGATGTCATGGAGTGGTGGCTATGTCCGATCTCCATAGAATCCTGGGTAGAGGAGCTATTTGAAGGAGAGTTGTAGACCCTGGGCCTCGTCCGGTTCCCAAGGATTTGCTGTCCATGATGGTGGTGGTGATGGTGGTGGTGGTGATGAGAGCTATTCCCATGGTGATGTGATACATTTTGTTGTGAATGAGGAACATGAAATGTAGTTTCTTGAACAGGGTGCGTTTCAATTGTTACTTGGGTAGGGGCTTCAGTGACCGTCCAACCAACGGGTGGAGGAAATGTTTGCCGAACCTATAGGGAAAACCAAAAAAGGTATTATATGTATGGCTTACAGAAGGAATTGCAGAAAAATAATGGCAAATTGTCCAACAGATATCACACAAGTTAGCAACCTACCTGAAATTAAAGACCCACAGTATACTAAGAAGACATATCGAGCAGTAGCACAAACTCAAATTTAAAACTATCAAGTAGTAATGATATTTTTTAATAATGTGCTGCTTCTTCTATCATGTATTAGTATTAATTGAGAGGCAAGTTCTTAGCACTTTGCAGGTTACATTGCAGGGGAGGTAGGTACTCTAAGTGTAGGAGGTACAGTGTATGGATATTTATATAGCACCAACAGGTGTACTTATCGCTTTACATGTTACATTACAGTATAGGGAGGTACAATAAATGCAGTAGGTACAGTGTATGTATATTATTTATATAGCACTGACAGGTGTACTCATCAATTTACAGGTTATATTACAGTATATGGAGGTATAGTAAGTGGAGAAGGTATACAGTTTATGTATATTATTTATATAGCACTGACAGGTGTATTCATCAATTTACAGGTTATATTACAGTATAGGGAGGTATAGTAAGTGCAAAAGGTATACAGTGTATGTATATTATTTAGCACTAACAGGTGGACTTAGCACTTTAAAGGTTACATTACAGTGGAAGTAGGTACAGCAAGTGCACTAGGTTTACAGTGTATATTATTTTATATACTGCGTGTAGATGTACTGAGCTGATCCTGGCACTTTAATGTAAACACTAGAACAATTATAGAAAAGTGTTCGTGTATTACTTTGACTAGGAGAGGAGATTCAATATCATTTCCAAACTGGAATCAAAATTATTAAAAATTGTAAAGGATTACCTGAGGACTGTGTGCTTCACAATCCATAGCTTGAACAGCAGCAGTAAAATGTCCCCCACTATGCCGATGCTGGTGAGTTGGGTCTGACCTAGCTCTCCCACTGTTGCTGGTCCCAGAAGAACCACCTATTAAAACAAATTGTGAAAAATAATGAAAAATAGGAGATAATACACGAGAGCCTAAAGGAACTCTCTGTTGTATGGATCACATCATACAACAGGGAAATAGCCACACCATCAGGTCAAAGTTTACAGTAGCAACTCTGCCTTTCTATACAATGCAAGGGCCATTGTAAACTGGGAGGAAACTAATGCAGAAGATATTGTAGCACAAATTAGATAATGGATTTTAATTTCTTTAACTGATTTGAATGTACCAATTTCTCATCCATTTGGCGACGGGGAACAGAGCGATTAGAACTTATATTTTCAGAGCACGAAATTCCGATTTTGGTAAAGCAGGAAGAGATCTGGTATGGGGGTTTTCTCTTTGTTTATTGTGATTTTTGAAGTTTGATGGCTCACAAACTAGTAAGTGGAATAACAGCAAGACATTTACAGATGTACAAAGTAGTGCTAAATACTAGTTTTTAATCAAAAGTCACCATTATTTAAAGAACATCAGGTCTTGGAAACTTTATAGAATCTCAGACAGTTCTCAGATAAGAGACATAAAATTAAATAATGTAAGGTGCCTTAAGTTTCACAAGCCGATTAACAGAAACTCTAAAGAAACTCTACAGAGATTAAGAGTTTAAGAGATTAAGAGTTTGTTGCCATCAAGGAACCTGGCACAGAGAACCAATTTAAGTAACAACAAAACAACAGGTGGAGGATAGAGCAGGTAGTGCATCACTTTCCTAATCAACACAGAAATGTTCACATTTTAATCTACAAGAAGGCCAATTTACATTACTTTTATCTACCTTCTGATTGATCCTGTTTGGTTCAGTTACTAAATCACATGACAGCCAAATAAATAAATTCAGGGAAATCTACAGTCCTAATAGAGAACAAATGGCACAACTTACACCTTCCTGTGGCCATACCTGAGCTAGATGATGTACTAGAGGTGGTTCCAGATGATTGGGACTGCTCCATTGCTGGACTTGTAGATACACTATTACTTGTGTTGGTACCTTCATCAGCAGTTTTCTTAAAAAAACTATGTTGCAGGGCATAATAAGGTTGGATACGTGTCTTGGCATCATAATCTAGCATCCTTAAAATGAGGTCTTTAAACTTCAAGTAGTCCGCTACAGTGTGACCTGATTCCCCAGCTCTGCGTCCACCAGGCCCACCAGTTTCTACTCCAAGTATAATGTGAAGCTTCCGGGTTCCTGCCAATTTGTATTCCTATAGAGGGAAAACAGTAACCTTCATATTGTGCAAAAGAAATCATAACAGAAAATTAAAAATTAAAAAACTCAAAGCACAATGACTGAATGGTACAGCACTGCACATCTACGCTCTCCCAATATTTAAATAAACTTTAACCATTCTTTTGAATGCAATAAGTAACTCTTATTAGATGAATTCTAAACACTAAGCCCGAGATATGAGAGATCAGTGTGGTCTGAGCAGTTGACATTACTCACCCCATAGTCAGTCACTGTCCTCTTGTAATCTATCCCCAGTGAGTATGGATAAAGTTATGTTACAGAAAGCTGCAAAAGTTTTTTTAAAAGCATAACTAAAGAGATATGAACAAGCAGAAAGTCACTGCATGATTATCCATCCTGAGCAAACAAAAGTGGCAAAGTGGCAAGCAAACTCTACTTGAGTGCCTGCTTCCCCTGCATACATCCTCTCAGACCAGCGTTTATTCTGAATGAACCTCTGATTGGCTGTCTATCTGTTGTGAAACTGAAAGTCTCTTCGAAGGAAAAGGGGGGAGGATTTGCAAAGGCATAAGATATAACTCTGACGAACACATGCATGAAAAATGCATCCATGTATCCAGTGGGGGTATATATATTAAACAGTGATATTTTTTTTTTTGCAGTGTGGAGTGTTCCTTTCAAATTTTTATTAGTGTCTGGGTTGTTCATGTTCTTTTGACTTTTGGTCCATTCTCATTAGGCGAGTCTGTTCTTGGTGTGACTATGACAATGTATTATGCATTTCCCTGATTCCACAATTTTGTTATTTTCTATGTCGTGTTGTTCATTAGGTTGAAAAACGACATAATTTAAGCAACAGGTGGAAGAATCCTTTACATGGGATCGGGCTATTACAAT